TTACCTTGGTATACCTTCTACTACGTCATGGTACATCCCTCGATTCCCATGCTTATCTCCCCGTTCTAACACCCTTAGATCGCAATGGCAGCCATCGAACTCGCAACCTCAACAACCGCCTTCTGGCGCGAAACCGGGGCCGCCTTCCGCGCAGCCAACCCGCGCACCAGCGGCACGAAAGACAACCGCATGAAAGAAGCGCTTATCCGTCTGCCCCACGCACGCGTCACATGGCTCTGCGCACTCTTCCTACTCGGGTACGTGGGTATTGAAGTCGCGCTGGGCGGTTGGATTGTCAAGTTCATGCTGGAAGTGCGGGATGGAGAGGAGTTTGCGAGTGGCATGGTGGCGACGGGGTTTTGGATGGGGATTACCGTGGGGAGGATTGTGCTGGGGTTTGTTACGCCGAGGTTGGGGGAGAAGTTGGCTATCACTGTGAGTTTGTTTCTGGTTTCTTCGTTCCTTCCTCCCTTCTTTCTTGTCTGACGTGTGCTAACTGGGGTTCTTCAGATCTACCTTCCCCTCACAATGGCCCTCGAACTCATCTTCTGGCTCGTACCCCAATTTTATGTCTCGGCCGTCGCCGTAGCCCTTCAGGGCTTCTTCCTCGGTCCCTTGTTCCCCGCCGTAGTCGTTGCAGCTACGAAGCTTCTACCGCGTCACTTGCACGTTGGTGCTATTGGCTTCGCGGCAGCTTTTGGCGGAAGTGGCGCTGCCATCTTCCCTTTCGCGGTTGGAGCTATCGCACAGGCCAAGGGTGTACAGGTGCTACAGCCGATTATTCTGGCGCTGTTGGGCGTGATTCTACTGCTTTGGTTGGGTCTACCGAGGATACATAAGAAGGAAGAGTGAGATGTTTGAGGGGTTAGGGAGGAGTGTAGGCTCTAGATATGTTTGCTTTGTGTCAGGATTTAGATATGCAAGGACACTGCTGATACGCTTGGCAAAATGGATAACTTGAGCCATCCTCGGACCAACAAATCCATACCCGCCAAATCTTAGCTTAGTTCACCACCCCACACTCTTTCTCTCGATCTTCTCCTCTCCTCCCTTGATCGTCTTACCCTCCTTCACCACCGCGCCAATTTCCATCACACCTACCGATTGCCCAAACATCAGCACTCGACGTTCCACACTCTCTACACATTCACATGTGAGAGGCTTACCAGTCAAACGACCCAATCTATACATGACCCTATCCCACAGATCCTCCATCGCATCGACCAGGGAATCCGTCTCGGAGCTTTGCTCAACAAGCTTCCAGCTATTCCCCGATGTAGCTGGTGTGACGGCGAACAGGTTTGCTGTGTATAGAGAGGTCGTTGTTAGGGATAAGAGGGTGGGGAAGAGCTCGCTGCGCGCCTTTCTTGCGGTGAAGATGACTTTGTAGGAAGTATTGTTGTCGGAGAGGTCTATGACGAGAAGGGGCGCAGTTTCTAATTGTCGATGACTTGTTAGCTGGTCGGTTCTTTGGCTTCCAAACAGCATCACTCTTCTTCTTGTTCCATCTTGACCTGATTTGAGGAAAACCAAATTTGTACCATCTGAGCACGTACCGATAATCCACCTTTTCACTATTTCAGTGAACTGCAACTGCGCCAGTTTATCTAATCCTGCTGCTTTCGAGCTATTGAACGTGTGACTGTGCTTTGTCACGACATTGATCGTCGGCAGTGGCGCTTGTGTTTCGGGGAAGAGGCGCATCGATGGTTTCTTGATGTCGTATTTTGGCGGAGGTGCCGAGTCTTTGCGGGCAACATTGCTGATGGAGGTAGACGTTTCGGAAGAAGAGGAAGGTATAGATGTTCTCCTGATAATTAGGTCGTCGATGCGGGCCTTGAGGTCAGAGAATTGAGCGATGAACATAACTGGAGTTGTCTGAGTGCATCTGGTAAGATCGAAGGTTTGGGTACGAGATGCTACGTGGGAGAAGGCTAAGGGGAAATACGTGGGGGTTAGAGAGAGTTAGTATTATAGAGAGCGTGGAAGACGTGGCAAGTGTCGTGGGCACTAGAGGTATGCGAGGGATGGTGCGCTGGATGCGAATGCTCCTGCTTTTGATGCGATTGAAGAAGGTACAGGGTACGGACCAGCCACTGGACTAAAATAAAGACATTGGATTGATGCATTATGAATTTATGGGGAAGAACTACGTTCTACCTGCCACTCACTGATTCCCAAGACTACAAGATCGAGCCCTCTTTAACCTATGGTCATTGTTTAGCCCTCGCTTCTAGTACGAAGCCACCTCCACCTTATCCTTCTCTCCCTCGATTGTACCCTCCCTCTCTTCAAATGCCTTGGCCACAGTCTTAGCCTTCTCCTGTGCAATCTGCATTCCCGCACCTGCGGCAGCTTTGAGTCCATCTGCCATGGAAATCGCAACCTGCTTCATCATAACCATGGTATCGCCACCTGCGAAGACACCTCGGACGCTCGTCTCGTTAAACATAGCGTTCACGATCTTGATGTGTCCACCCATCGCCGGTTCCACCGTCTCTATGCCGAGCTGGTCGACGAGATGTTGCGCGCGATTGACCGTAACAGGCCTGTGAACTAGGAAACCGAGAGTGACTGGTTCTCCGGTCTCAAAGTGGATTGTTACGCCATCTGTGTGACTTGGACCGTTGTTCACCAGGCGAACGATCTTTCGCTCGTCGAGCGTTGCACCGAAAGCCTTTGCGAGCTTCAAAGCGTCTTGCACTGGCGCATCCTTCTTGATGGGTCCATTGGTAAATAAGGTGATTGAAATAGGTTCGAGAGGTACTGCCATTTGGACCATATGTGCGTATCCAGGATTGTCGAAATCCAGTATGCCGACTGCACTCCCTCGTTGCTCGTAGCCATCGCAAGCTAGACACTGGTATATGTGGTCTGGCCAGTTCTCCTTGTAACCTGGAATATCGGGAAGGATGTCTTTCGAGCCAGTAGCCAGGATGACCTTCTTGCCCTCGTATGAGTGGCCTTCGCTGTCCTTGACTTCGAAGCCGTCATACAAGTCCTTCTCACCTGGCAATGACAGTTGTTTCTTCGATGCATGGGTGATTGTAGCGGATTGAAACCATACGCTATCGTATCGGGATTCGATCTGTTCACGGGCTATGCGGCCGAACTCTCTGGGGTTGAAGTGGTCGCGGGAGGCTACAGTATGCATGTGCGTGACACCTTCGTTGCGGTACTGTTGGTTGCCGAATACGATAGCTTTAGTACGTGTTCTTGCACAGGTGAGTGCGGCGTTGAGTCCTGCCGGACCTGAGCCGATGATGAGTATGTCGAATATTTGGGGTCGAGATCGGAGCGCCATCTTGATGAGGCTTCAATATATGGCTGTGAATGTAGAAGTATAATGAGAAGAGGTATCCTGAGTATATGGGTATGACTATAAAAGACGATGTGAGCTTGCGGTGGGTGTTGTGTTTGAGGTCAGTCGAACTTCCAGCCAGCTTTATACACCATGAGCACCAGCTCCGCGGCATAACGCTCCGATGCATAACGCTCCGATACGATTTCGTTGTCCAGCATGCTCACCATCAAGGTACAGATTGTTCGGAACTATGCAAGGAAGGGACTGTGTGGCGCGTAGTATCTTGGGTAAAGTCCCCGATCAATACTAGAGGGGCAGTGGCGAAATGTCTCCGAGAAAGTTTCCGGACCGAACCCAGCAAGCTCACCTCTCGGAACGTCAATACTCTACTTATTATCATGTCTTTGGTCGCTGTATGGTCTGTATGAGAACGCCGTGGTTATGATAACCCGTGGATAGCGCCCGTGGTGGGGAGGAAATGCCCAGGAAACCCACAGGTCGTCAAGTCTCCCTGGTGTAGCGTATCGCGCCCTGCTACAGCGCCATTCTCAGATTCTAGTACGCATATCTCATGTTTGACGAGCTGATGCAGTCAGGCTGTACGAAGTTGTGGTGTGGTGAAGAGAGGGCGAGAACGCGACTGCTCCGAAGGCGCCGTTGCTGCACCACGCTAGTATGAACCCCACATTGGCAGGATAACTACGCCAGATCTAATACACCTAACGACTGGGGATCACGCATGAGTAATATATATCATAGGCTCTCATATGAAGCGAAGGGTTCTATTTACCACGGCTGAAGATACATTCGCAGCAAATAGCAACGAGAACGTAACTACAAATTGTGTCCTCGTTTCTACCAATCATCATGTGCTTGATCTTGATATCCATCCGAGTCTGGACTATACTCCTGTGTACTATACTCCCGTATAGTACTTCCCTCTCTCTCAGCTACGTTAAAGTTAGTCCGCTCCATTGGGTATCGGAATTGTTTAGATGTATGGCAACAACTTACCTATCACCTCCTCAAATCTGACCATGGCCCCACCGAGGAAATTCTCCATCGCCTTCAGAGGTGTGTTACATCTCTTTTCACCTTCAGCAACCAAATGCCATTGGCTGCAACCAGAATCTAGGTACACTAGCGCTCTTGTGGAGTAAATAGCCCGTCTTTCGCCCTTATCGTCGACAATGCTCTTTGCACCAATCAGGACTTCGAAATGGTGGTAAGCGGGATAGTCGTGGCTAAATATAGCAGTAATGTGTCCTGTATAGACGTCAGCTGTCCTGTTCCGTTTGTGTTTAATTCGCATGAAAGGTCGTTCATTACTCACGAATCGCTTCAGCTCGCAATGCGGCGATGAGCTGGTAGTTTTGAAGCTGTCCCGATACGCTTTCTTTAGACGCAGTCATGACCTTGAGTGGAGTCCGATGATAGATTCTTTCCAACAAACCGAAGCTGATTTTGTAGTCGTGTCAGCTCTAAGATGTTTGCCCAAGTATGTCAATAGTTCATTGTTGACTATAGGCTTTGCTTCTGGAAGAGCCAAGCCGAAGCCGGCAAGTACTATGCAAGAAAGATATAGACCATTCGCATCTGCATGAGCGTTCATATGCATCGATTATGCCCTGATGTAGAATCTAGACAGCCTGAGTACTCATCTAAGAGGTCCCCCATTGCGATATATGCCTTGGCATTATATCCTCGTCTCTCCATATCCAAGAGACATTACGCCGTGTTCGAATGGTATCGCCTCGTCTGCTGATTGCATCGGTCCACCCCACGTCACCACACCCCTCCCGTCCACCGAATATGAGCCTCCAACTTGCCATCTACATGCGCCTTCTCCAACCAGCTGGCCCCAGACCCCCTCATTCTTCCTGAGCATGACCTGGTTATAGCCATTCCTGGGATGCAGAACATGACCCCAAGTAGCTATGCCCAGACCCCATAGCGCGTATAGTTCCCGGTCTTGGTCTACTACTACGTCTACATTCCAGGCCCCGCCGAGTTTTTTGACCCATTCTGTAGTTGCAGCAGGTGTGCAGTGCGATATTGCGACGAAGTGGATAGAAGTGTGCTTGTTCGCAAGGGTTCGGAGCGTGAGGAAGAGTTTCTCTGAGACTGTTGGAGCTATTAGCAAATGTCTAATTTCCACTGTTGCATCCGAATACAGCCTCTGGAATGCTGACTACTCACAAGGGCATCCGCAAAACCTCAGGAACAGCAGTATAGTCGGCCGCCCATCGGCTGTAGGAAATTGTAACTTAGGATGGCTTTGTGCGCGGTCTCCTATGTTTGGTGACTTGCGCACCGGGTTCTGCGGTGGTGGAGGTGTCGTCCAAGATTGTAGGGCTTTTGGTACACCCCATTGTACGTTTGCGAATGGGTTGGCGAAACCTGTGTCTCCTCCCTCGGCGCCATTTGTGTTCCCCTTCTTCGTGTTGCCATTCCCAAACAAGCCGTCGGTTTTTGGTAGCGATACACCGCCCAGCCCGGCTTTTCGGAGGGCTATCTTTGTCCCTAGAGAACTGAACATGTTTGCTGATGTCGTTCAGCGGTCGTAATTCGGATATATCGATCTGGGGCCGATCTAGATTTCCGCACGATTGTGTAGGGGTTATGCTAGATTGTGAAAGAGTGCTGCAAGTATTAATCAACCTGTACGGGAAGCAGACCGAAGGCACAGTGGAATGAAAGAGATGTGCAGGAGAAGTCTCGGTTGTGCCGACATAGTGCTGATCATGTAGCCACGACGCGTCGCGGACCTTGCAGCTGAAACGAAGGGCGTGGCACGGACGGTTGGGGAAGGCGGAGCGAAACAAAGCGGCTACCGGATTTCGACTTCTGGTGGTACACAGCGGGTTCCATCCTTTGCGACTCGATGTGAGAATGAACAAGACGATAGTAATAACCATTATTACCAAGGTACGATGATGCCCAGGAGGCACGCTGTCACGTGTGAGGACGCTAATACCAATACAGGTAGCGCGGGGTAGGGATTAACTCTAGCACTTCAGGGCTCCATCGATCGGCTCGCACATTCAACCATCAATGTACGCGTACCAAATGCATCGCTATCTAAATACAGGTCTAAAGGCGGTATCATCGCAAGCGGTAGTGACAGCAACACGCGTCGGGTATCCTATCGTACAGACGCCCCATATCTCCACCAACGCCATTTCCATCCCGCTAAACCCTCAGTACTATTACATTGCACCAACCACGGTGCCACAAAGTACGGCACTCATCGCTTGTATGCAAAGATTGTCCTGCACTCGAGCAAAGTTTGGCGCTTTACACACTCTTGGACGATCTCCTCGTCTTCCCACCACCACTTCGGTTCGTCTTGAGCATCGTCTACGAAGCTACCCCATATGTCCTTCCAGAAGGCCCGGCCGATGATCATAGAGAGCTCTTCGTTCACATTGGCGGTATCTGAGTCGATAGCGCACGGTAGCGTCATGCTTTGATTGTCTTCCTGAACGAGCATCTCGAACCCGGCAGCTTTCAGCCAACTGGGGACCAGCGAACATGGCTTTGAGCATCTGAAGTCCCGCTCAAGATTGACGGAGAGTCTGTCCTCGATCCAGGTTCGCATCAACGGGCCGGTAGTCTTGCGTACCGGGGCGGCATCCATGATCCTGATCTCTAGGAAACCACCACTAGCGAGTAGCTTGTGACATTCGCTGAACAGTTCCGGTAATATCGCAGAGGGTACCAGCGATGGCAACGTTGATGCTCTTATATGCGAGAAGTAGTCCTCTGGGTAAGGCAGTGGAACAGCACCAAACTTGCGCACCGTCAAGTATGATACGTTGCCCGGTAACTGAACACGTCGCTGGGGTTTGGTAGTGAGGAAGTGCACTGTTTGGGACGGATGCATTGCCGACAATTGGTATACCTCAGCTGACGTCGACCGTTAGAGCTTGCACAGCAGCGTAACGCAAGGGCACAACATGGACTTACAGAGATTACCGTAGAGTTCAAGGATCCTCCCGGTGTTACATTCGGGCTTCGGCAGGGTCCGTTCCCGACCCAAGTTCAGCATTTGGAACCCCGTCAACAGCCACAATTGTTTCTCGATGACCAACTGTTCTTTCATTAGCAAAGGTCTGTGCAGAGTTATAACGTCGACACGCACCTCCTCATCAACATCTCCGCCCGTGCTCCATTGCCAGTCTTCCTTCAGTCGATCTAGGATGACCTTGGGACCGGCTCCCTCCATCCTCCGGATAAATCGTGCAAAACGACCGAGGTCCGGTGTCGCATTCTGGGCTACTGCAGCCTTCTTAGGGGTCGGACGCGACTGCAACTGTATTTCCGAAGGTACCCCTCGTGGAGTGAGACATTGCCATTGCGAGAGAGGCTTGCAGGAGACTTCGGAATTTGCGCCACCGCTCAGTTTTGAGACATGCTTAGTGTCTTCGTGTCCTTTCTCCTCCTGGAAACTGTCATGCAGCTCAAGTGCTTCGACTTTGGGCATTGCTTCGGTCTCAGCTGCCTGTGGCCACCTAAAGACAATAAGCATAAGATCGATACTGATGAAAATGTTACTCACCCGCTGTCAACCCTCTTTGCTCCGGGCATTGACATTGCTGGAGCACTTCTATCCTCAGGGGTCTCGGAACTGGCACGAGTTCTGCTCGTAACAAAAGATCTCGGACTGACGCGGCTTGCTTGCGTTGCGTCATCACTGCTATCAACTACCGGCGGAGTCCTCACCGAGCGTTTTCGGTCATCTGGAATATTTCTTCAGCACATGATCATGGTACGCTGATGCTTGATGACTTACGTGAGACGCGCGATCTCGTGGAGTCTGTCTTTCGAGAGGACTTTTCGCCTTCCAGCTCCGGCACTTCATCTTGTTGCGGATGCAGAGAATCACCAGATGGTAGTTTCGCAGGAATAGTACCTGTGTATGTCCAGTTAGGGTGCAGCGCGGGATCCTTGAGCTTGTGCGTGCGGGTCAAGTCCAACTCAGCCGGCACGGTTTTCGCCGTTCTCTGGGAATCCGTGGTTTGTCCGGTTGATGGTCGTAGTATCCTGGGTTTTATACTCTTTGCCTTCTTCAGGCCTGAAGACCACCATTGCTCACGGTCTGTAGAGCCAGAGTTCGCCGAACTAGTGGACGTTCGTGAAGTATGGATGGAGTTTGACCTGATGGATCGCTCTTTGGTCTTTCGCTCCCTCCGCGCTCCAACACTCTCCGCCTCTTGATCCAGTGGTAAGTCGGTTGCGAACATGTTTGATCACAGTGGCGAGTCTAGCGGGGTGCAGCGGGGCCACTATAAGTCGATCTTTCAAGGGGTGGGAGCGAATGATCGACTGAAGGCTATCCAGCACTCAAGGCTAGCCGCACCTCTCGACGGAAAAGTAGTCAAGTACCTGTGTGGAGGGTGTCGCGACCGTAAAGCGAGTTACGCAACGGTCCCATGTTTCCGCGGCATCGAAACGCTGTCGCACCACTCGGACCGTGGCGTTATTGACCTTTTTAGGACTACTATCAGGGCTTCCCTAATCCGAACTCATGCGCTAGTGCTCTGCCGTGCTTCCTTGACGGCGCAAAACCACTAAGCGCACCGTGAGCTTTCGGGTTGTTGACCACACTGCTGGGGAAAGATACACCTACACGTGGTATGAGCGTGCAAAGCAACGCCTCTTCCATTCGGTTCTTCCCCGAAAAAGCAAATACTCGGGTTGTACAGCAATTGCGACTGGCTGGCTTATCGGGCTCACTTTTCCAACTTTCGGTGTCTCCGCCCAAGGTTTTGCAGAACCGCTTGTGGCTGGATACGATTCGCACATGCCAACATGACGGCTGCTAGGTTGAATAACCGATATGATGCCGCCGACCTTGACTTGCACCCGCGGGCTACGAATTGCAAACCCAACTAGGCCGGCGATCACAGCTGATCAGTGCCGTGGGAACAGAGACGGACACCGGTGCCATGGACAAAATAAGCTGCAAGGCCGCTGAACCGCCAGGGCGGCGTGAACTGTAAGTGATCTGCCCTTAGTTGCTGTCTGTGATGTGACTGTTGTCAGAAGCAATCGGCAAGGGAGAGGCACAAGGTTCTACTAAGGCTTTTAGTCGCCCCGTCATTTTGCTGCAGATGCGGGAGGGGCACCAGACATCATCCCTTTGGCCAGTCATGATGCAGCCTGATCGACATCGGGCGTGCCTGACTAGCGTTAGCTAGGCTCCCCGGCCCCTGACTCGCTTCCGTCAAGCCACCAGAGTACGAGCCTAGACTGCCACACTCCAGCACGCTGCACGAGTCTCCGCTTCAGCTGCATGACAACGCTCCTGCCGCCGTTCAATTCACTTGTACTACGCTTGCGGCGGCCGTCTTAGGCTGTCATGCCGTCACTCCGTCCAAAAGCTTCTTAGATCGTGCTTTTTTCCCCTACCGCGCCGCATGCCTACCCTCGTCGTTCCCGCCCATCCCTTACGGCTGATATCACTTCGCCTCGAGTGTCTCTGATGTCTAGCCAGCTCGCCCTGTCGTCGATACTTTTCATTGCATTCCTGCAAGGCCCTTTGCTTATGGCCCCACCTTAAGCGATCGCATTGGCGATTGATCAATACTATATACCTTTTCGTTCCGAATCGTTCATGTTTGCTTATACCGGACGTGCGTGACACAAATATAGTCAACGCAGGGCTTCCTGCTGCCGATCACTGCATCTCTTATACTGGAGATTGAAACCCCCAACTGGTGGTCAACTTCACGTCTGCAACATGGAGTCCATACGTTCTTCAATCCACTCGTTCAACGTTTACGTCGGCCGGTCGACCTTCGGCAGGATATTCCGTCTCTCTGGTTGTGGGCATGTATGTTCAAAAGTTCTAGTGATATCTGGGACATGACTGACTATCTTCGCAGAAAGATGAGATCGAAAATACGAAGTTCACCACCGAAGTGCGAGCGGGACTTACGTCCTTCTTCACAATGGCATACATCATCGCGGTCAATGTAAAGCTGTCGAAAAACTATGTCCCGCAATATACTAACGAGCCTAGGCTACTATCCTCGCTGATACAGGCGGTAATTGCGTGTGCAATGATGCCACAGACCCTGTGTGCTTGACGAACACGGAATACCTCATTTGCAAGCAGGGTAGGAAACGTCTATACCCTCAACCACTTCAGCTGACCCAAGCTTAGATTTGAACCGCAACCTCATTACCGCCACAGCGGCCGTAGCCGGCTTCAGCTCTTTCCTCTTTGGGTTCTTCACCAACATGCCCGTGTGTCTTGCACCCGGTATGGGCCTCAACGCATACTTCGCCTACCAGATCGTCGGCTTCCATGGCCAAGGCCTCATTTCCTACAACCTCGCGCTCACTGCCGTCTTTGCAGAGGGCTTCATATTTATCTTCTTGTCATTGATTGGCATGCGACAATGGCTCGTGAAGATCATACCAGTATCGCTCAAGATCGCCGCGGCATGTGGTATAGGACTCTTTCTTGCAGAAGTCGGACTGAGCAACAACGCGGGCATTGGTGCCATTGCGGGCTCAAAGAGTACCCCACTTGACATCGCGGGATGTCCTGATCAATACAAGGATGAGTTTGGCTCATGCACAAGTCACAAGATGACTTCACCTACTGTAGGTCACATGATGCCGGCTCATCAAATATTGCTAACATGTCTCGTAGATGTGGCTAGGCATCCTTGGTGGTGGTATCTTGACAGCCTACTTGATGACATACAAGGTCAAGAGCGCTATGATCTTAGCCATCCTGCTTGTGTCAATCATTTCATGGCCGTAAGTCGCCATCAGCTATCTCAGCCAAGCTCAGTAGACTGACATGTTCACAGACGAGGCACCTCAGTCACATTCTTCCCCTACACTGAGGTCGGCGATAATCGATTCGAGTTCTTCAAGAAGGTCGTCGACTTCCATCCCATCAACCGCACACTGAACGCCCTGGACTGGAATGTCAACGCAGCACCAGGCCATTTCGCACTCGCTCTCTTCACTTTCCTATATGTCGACATTATCGACTGCACAGCTACGCTCTATTCTATGGCACGCTTCTGTGGAGTGGTGGACGCCGAAACTGGAGACTTTCCGCGATCAACGATAGCCTATTGCACAGACGCTTTCTGCATCTCCATGGGCGCACTTCTCGGCTGTTCACCCGTCACAGCCTTTATTGAGAGTGGAGCAGGAATTGCAGAGGGCGGGAAGACAGGACTGACGGCCATGACCTGTGGCGTCTGCTTTCTCATCTCGATGTTCTTCGCACCCATCTTCGCTTCGATCCCGCCATGGGCTACTGGATGCACTTTGGTTCTTGTAAGTCACATGGCACCACCTCCAAAATGCTAGCGTTAACGTAAATATAGGTCGGTTGCCTGATGATGCGACAAATCTCCTCCATCAACTGGCGATACATCGGCGACGCCGTCCCAGCCTTCGTAACCGTAATGTTCATCCCATTTGGATACAGCGCAGCCTACGGTCTTATTGCGGGCTTGATGGTGTACACGGCGCTCAACGGCATGATCTATTTGACAAAGCTTATATCGGGCGGATATATCGTTCCCGAGGACGAAGATAATCGTGAATACTGGACTAGTAAGTTTCATCACATCGCGCATTCCATCTCGCCGCACTTTCCCATCATCGATACCAGCCGCTAACTCAGGAACCCAGTCAAGCCCGCCGGCAGACTCCCCTGGTTCATCTCCGCATCCCAGAACCTTGCCGATCGCGTGCGGGGAAGCGACAGGAGACAAAAGTCCCCGGATGCGCTTTCCATCCGAAGCACGGAGTCGGAGTGGAAGTACCACGATCGCATTGGCTCGAACGGATCGAATCGCGAGCTCGACTCTGTCGTCATTCAAGCCTTGCCCACTGATCCTCGCCGGGAGAAGGTTTTCAGGTCCATGGGGAGATGACGGCGCCTGTGATTGGCAGGGGAACTATTTTGTTGATTTAGAGTTTCGCACTTGTGAAATGAAATACCACGAGTCATTTAACACTGCGTTCGAGACTGCTACTTTCTGCCCATGCCGTTATTTCGATGTCATGGCATTTGACGATTACAAAACAACATGGAGCACTGGTTCGAGGTCGGTGCATCCTGCACGTATGGGGGTGGTTTGGATTTTGGCTCACGATCTCTGAGCCGGGTCAACGCCTTCGCTCAACTTTTGGTTCGGGTCCGCGGCATTGATACTAGTCTAACTTTGCTCCAACCCTCCTCTTCCCCAACCTCACTCAGGCGACAAGAAGCAAGAAAGTAGCACTTTGCCCAGCCAGGGAAACTCAGCGAGACACTAAGCAGTCTCTCCGAGATCGACTTGTCGCTTTCTTGCTTTTTTCCTTCTAGCCGTACCTGCCACGAAAGCGAGATCTACAAACTCTAAGGTTGGCGCAATGCCTTCCGAGCCGCGGATTCGCAAGCAGCACGGCTGGGGTGCAGATCGCTGCCCTGTTAGAAGGGGTATGCAGCGGCACTTGACGCGTAAGTAAAGCACTACCGCTTGTCTACCAACAGACCGCAACCGAACGTGCATTGTCTTATCATGCCATCATCGAAAGTGTCGGTGCGACTTTATCGATAGTAACCAAAAAGCAATTCGATGCTGACAATTCCAACTCTACAACGCCTCTCGTGTATCTGAGGAAAACGAATTGCAACTACCTAGGTACCTTTTCCGAGAATAGCACATGCGTGCGGGACTCGCATTAACGTCGACTCTCTCAACTCTGGTACGGGTCTGCGGCATGCGTACCCAGCTCAACGACGGGGATCACATTGCTTTTTGTAGGGCTGCAAAAGACAGTTGTATGACATCTCGGCAAGTAAGCATAAGCTTGCCTCGCTTCCACCGTCGTCGTCTTCCCAAAGTGGGAATACTCCACACCCATCACAGAGACCTAAACTAACCCCAGAGCGTGTATAGCGACCTCTTCTTGTACCCACTCTCGCTTCTGCAACACCAATTCGCGTCTGCACGTCTTTCTTTTCCCTTATCTCAACTCAACACAGCATGCCGCCATCGACCTGCCACACAGAGCCAGTAACGTAGCTCGCGTCGCTGCTTAGCAGGAACTGGATTATTTTCGCTATCTCAATAGGGTCGGCGCGTCGGCCGAGCACGGCGTTGTTCGGGAGTTGGAAGCCAAGTTCTGTATCGAGGGCGTCCATGAGGGGTGTGTTGACAAACCCTCTAAAGTAGTGTCAACGTCAGCGACCGGCTCTCCAGTGGCACCATTGCGCGCGCAAGAACGACCTAGGAGACCACGGAGAGAGTTCCATTGAGTGGTGGAAAGAAGAACTTACGGTGCGATGGCGTTAATGCGTATTCCAGTGTGCTCCTGCTCCCTCGCAGCAGCTTTTGTGAGCCCAACGACGGCATGTTTTGAGGCGCAATAGACGGAGCAGTTTTGCTTGCCGACAAGCCCAGTTATCGACGCGGCATTCACGATCGATCCTCCTGGCACACCTGAACGTGCCACACGCATGTTGCGCAGCTCGGCTGACATACAATTGAACGTGCCTTGGACGTTGACTGCGAAGACGGCCTCGTAGTCGGCGGCGTCGAAATTCGCCGCAGTTTCGAGTCGACCTGAGATGCCTGCGAGATTCACTGCGCCTGCATTATGCTCATGTCAGTCAAAGCACTCATGCAGATGTCGATTTCGCCAGGCGCATTCATGCCTTGAGGACAGGACGTTGACATACCATCGATTTGCTTCAACCCGAACCTCGTTGGCGCATGCGCCAACCAATGCTCTACCTCTTCCCTAACTGTAACGTCCACCTTCGCCCATATCGCACTCGCCCCAAGCTCTCTCGCAAGCTGCGACACTGCTTCTTCGTTCTTATCCCCCAGCGCGACCTTTGCGCCGCTTGCAACCAGCAGTGTAGCCGTCGCACGTCCGATGCCTGACCCAGCCCCGGAAATAGCAAAGAGCTGCCCCTTGATACTATAGGGGGGCCCAGACCATCTCTTCTCTTCATTCGAGGATGGGCGCGGGTCCTCGGGCATGGTACGGTCGGGCGATGATGATCGTCTGCGATGGAGAGTGCGACAGGGAAGGCGATAGGGATGTGCGCCGTTGCTAGGCTGGGGAAGATGCCGGGACGACGATATCGTAGCGGCTTCTGTCTGTAGGTATAGCTGTTGGTCGGAGGCGTGCGAGATGTTGTGATGACTTTAGCGATAGGTGTTTCTGTTGACGTTCGTCGGCGCTTGTTCACGCAAGAGAAGCTATGAAGTGTGGTGGGATGCTCGACAGCATGTGCGCCTTCAAGTGCAAGGATATGTATGGGCAGGTGCCATGCGGTGTGTTGCAGCATGGCATCTCGTGCTGGACGGCGGTGACGATGCACACTCTCATGCACTGCAAGTGTGGTGGGCTCAAGGCTTGATTGGGCAGTCTCATGCAGGTCGAGAACTTCAGGCGCCGTGCTATACCGTCGAATGGGTTGTGTAAAAGCCTCGACAAGTAAAGTTCAAGAGCACGTTCGCGCTGGATGTCACGATGCAACTTGGCTGTCATATCGTGGCTGTCTCACGTAAGCCGACATCTGTTCACACCAGTATCTCAAGGCTTCCGGAGTTACAACACGTCAAATCACATTCTCTTACATCTCATACTTCGCCAACACATCTCTCGCCTCCGCAAATTCCATTTCAAACACTCCCTCGCGTCCCTCTCTCACTTGTATCTCGCATTCAAAATCCTTCGGCGTCCTCACAATACCATCCATAAACCCAGTATCAGGATCGATGTCAATAGACTTCCCAGGCTTCTCTTTGAACTCGAAGGCCCAAAGTAATTTCGCAATAGCAATGAAGAGACTGCGCTCAGCAAGATGCATGCCAGGACAAATACGACGACCAGCACCGAACGTGAAGTGATCCCGCGAACCCACGTCAGGAGACGCTGCGTACTGAGCTGAAGTATGCGTGCGTGTTGCATAGCGATCGGGATCAAAATCTGACATTGGGGAGTCGCAAGTGTCGACGTCAGATGGGGTATGGTTCAAAGCCCAGACGTTGACGAGGACTGTCGTGTTCTTTGGGATGAAGTAGCCGTCAATTGTGTCATCTGCTTCACATTAGCCACGGTTGGTTCGTCATCCGAGCGGAGTGAAGGATACCAGCAGTAGTCGAGCGCATTATCAAGGCCGCAAGAGGTCTCCATCGCATGACCTCCTTGATAATCTGCACGACATACGGTAACCTCGCGACATCGCTCCACCCGGGCGATCGCACGCTTCCCACCGCCTCATCAACATGTCTGTGTGCTCGTTCCTGGACATCCGGATACCTAGCCATCGCCTGAATGAAAACTCGTATAGCAGACGCCGTCGTATCACTCCCAGCATCAATCAGCGACCCAGCAAACACATCCAAATCTCTTCTCGTAAGATCAATCCCCTTCTCGCCCTCATCCAGCACATAGTCATATACAGTCGCTGCACGCACACCCCGTTTCCTCCTTTCCAAAACCGGCTCCGCCATCTGCGTAAAGGCAGCATTAACAGCCTTGCTGGTCTCCTCACTCTTGTCCTTCCAATTCTTCCAGCGTCCAGTCCATATCCTCTGCGGCACATGTATCAACCACGGTAGCAAATCGACTGGCGGTGTCGCACCAACTTCGAGCAACGCAACGTACTTGTCAAACCAAGCCTTGTACTCCTCCAGCTGCTCCGCATGTCTCGTTCTTGTTCCGTAAACTAGACTCTTGATAGTGCTATTCGCGAACCTCAGTGTATGCCCCATAAACTCCTCCGGCTCTTGCCCAAAATCACACAGCATCTGGCTAGCCTCCGCCTCCACAAGTCCGATGTACTCTTTGTCGACCTTCGCCTCGTTGAAACACTGCGCCAGTAACTTGCGGCATAACCTCAGTTTCTCGCCCGACGGCATGAAGACGACTAGAGGCATATTCGCGGGATCGCGCGCGATGTACCTTGTTGCAAAGACGAAGGGTGGGCGGCTGCTGTATGTTGTTCCCCGTTTGTCGATGAGTTCGCGGACGAGGCGCCGGGAGCTGAGGACGATGGTGGTGGTGTGGAAGAGCTTGAGGCTGTAGATGTCGCCGTATTGGGAGGCCCATTTTGTGAATTGGAATTGGGCGTTTTTTGTGGGTATGGAGAGGACGTTGCCGAGGAGGGGGAGGGGATGTGGACCTAGATGGGTGGGTTAGCTTTGGGATAGGATAGGACAGGATAGGAAGGGAGGTACCGGGTGGTAGATGGGCTTCTCTACGTCCTATTCTGAGGATGTAGTAGAGTCCTATGACTGAGATGGTGATGCTTATTGCAGCTAAAGTACCCATGGTTCAGATGTAGGTTAAGCATGTTATTGTCTCACCAACAAGTTAGGCTGAAAGGGCATCGAACCTCGCCATATATACCCTTTGTTTCTCCACTAGACGTACAATCGCTCTCTTCTACATGCAGGCTCTGGTTACACCTCTGGCGGGGTAAGTTGCATTACCACTGTGTCGGTAGGCAATAGATACCCATGACCTGTTGTGTGAAGTCCAATCGCATGATGAGACCGTATACGGAGACATCGATCGATAAATAATGCATAACCGCCAAGGCATGCGTATGCCAACCATGGTACGCGAAACTCGTCTCTCCGAAGCGGTGATTGGCGGTCATTCGTGTAAGCAGGAGGCACAACGAAAACAGCCTGTAATGGCGAGTAAGCCACGCTTCTGCAACAACTTTCAAGAAGATGTAATCAGGAGACCTGAGATATGGAAAGTAAGAAAGTATCTGGTATTATGCTTGAACGAGAATTGTAAAGCAGCAACCACATTGTAGACATCCATCATCACCGCGCTAGCACCCTACAACAGCGCACCAGCAAACGCCGACATGACAAGCATCCCCAGCATACCCACCGCAGTCTTCGACACACCCACATGCACCGCAGCCCCCGTATCCGGCTTGCCATCCTCACCTGTAGCATCGGGCCCACTACTACCTGTGCGACTCGCACCACCACTAGGCGTGCCCGTCGCACTCGCAGTATTATTCCCCGAGCAAAGGATATCCCTCGGATTAACCCCGTTATCCATGAAGCAAGTCCGCAAATCAGCAACCGTCTGTTCGTAGCTAAGACAGTAGTATCCGCAGGAGCCGTTGAATTCCTCGACCGGTGCGTCTTTGCAGCATTGTTTGAGTGCGGAGGAGGTGTTGGACTCGACGCCCGTTGTGCTGCCTACGCCGCAGAATATGTCTTGAGTCGGGAAGACGGAGAAGTCGGCTGTGGTACACGAGGTGCTTGTTGCGCTTGGGGCGGCGGCGGAGGATATGAGGGACATTTTGGGTGAGGTGGAGGTGAGGTTTGGAGATTGGGGCTTCTGTGGGTGGTGGTTAGGAAGGTGGTGTATACAGGATGTAGGAAGACTTACTTTGGGTACAGTCGTAGGTATTGTAGTTGTGTGACAGCTAGTACCAACGTTCTCTTGTGCAACTGGAATGTACAGGTAAGTAGTCGGAGAATTGTTAGTGACCTAGCAAACAGGGACGATTAAACGGTCAAGAAATATCCGCAGAGCCAGTGCCAACGGCTTAGCGCACGTCACACGATACTTCCAGCAAGATCCATGAGGCCATGGCTCTGCCCTGTTCTGGTTCCAAGGCCCATCTGTTGACCTGAGGCAGTGGCGCGTTGCTCGGGGCGGTGGCTCGTGGCTCCACTTCGTTGCTCAGGGGACCCGGGTTCGACGGGTTATTTTTGGAGTCGTGACGGGCCTTTCGGCAGCTGCTTGCCGAGGTGCAACTACGGCGTGGGCAGTTTTCTTGCTTGGAAGAGAAGTTTGTATGAGGCCCTATGGCAGAAGCTGAGGCTGTGCTTTCGCATCGTGTAGTTGATGTTGCTTGTTGAATCTGGGGATTTGGGAGATGCCGCGCGCTTTGGCTTGATGAGGATAGCGTGACGTATGGCTCCGAGGTCACGGCGAGAAACATGCTGCATCCATGATCGTGCTTACTGAACCAAAGTCTATGTCGACTTCATGTGAAAACTTGCTCTTCAAGTAGATTCTGATACCTATAATATATACAACGAAGTTTAAATATGCGCTTTTACTCGAGTCCAGCCAACTCCATCTCGGCGGCAGCGTACATGAACGCACCAGCACCCTTACCATCGTTGGTCAGGGTCTCAACACCGGTGTAGTACTCGTAAGACGCATCGCCCTTCAAACTTCCCACAGTAACTGTGCCAGTAAAGCTGATGGTGCCGTTCTTCTCGTACTGGATGAAGTCGTCCAACATCAGATCCCACGCCTTGGATGCAGTCTCCTGGTACTTCTTCTCCAACAAACCGAGCCTGACACCCTTCATGTATGCGTAGGTGAACATGGCGGTTGCGCTCGACTCGATGTAGTTGCCTTCCCTTCCAGCAAGTTCCGGGTCCATGAGCAGCCACCATCCGCCGCTGGTGTCTTGCACGTCGTTGATACCAGAAGCGAGCGTGACGAAGTAGTCGACGAGCTTGGAGTAGCCCTTGTGTGTCTTGGGGAAGACCTCTAGAACCTCAACAAGCGCAACGAAGTACCATCCTAGAGCACGGTCCCAGACGTATGGGGAGGCACCGGTCTCTGGGTCAGCCCATACAGTCGATTTGTCCTCGCTGTAGCCGTGGTACAGAAGGTTGGTTGTCTCGTTTCGGCAGTGTTCCTCGATCAGATCAAATTGCAGCTCGATGTCGTTCCAGGCTGTGATGTTGTTGGGCTCGAAGTACGATGTGTAGGTCGCGTAGAAGGTATCAGCCATGTAGATGCCGTCTAACCACATCTGGTTCTCATAAGTCGGGGCCCTGTGCCAGAAGCCGCCGGTGGGGGTGCGCGGCCATCGGTTCAGCTGCTCTCGGAGACCCTTGGCCGCAATAACGTATTTCTCGTCCTTGCGTCCTTCCGAGTTCCAGAAGTAGAGGATGTTGTTACCAAACCGGATATCGTCCAATGTGTAGAAAGTGGCGTTCCAGCCCTTGATGGTACCGTTCGAGGTGACAACGGACGAGACCGCGTCGGAGGCATACTCGAGCAGAGCAGTGTCGTTTTGCGTCACGGCGGCTTTCTGGATACCTTCACGGATGACGGAGGAGACGTAGTGGTTGTCGACCTTCTGGCCCTTGGACAAAAAGGAAGTAGCCATCCATGTCGAGTACGGCTGGGTGGAGTTCTTCGCCGCGACGGCGGTGGTAGCCAAAGCCAGGGTAAGAGCCGTAAGATGCATGGTTGCGAAACGGTATTATCGACAAGCTAGGAATATCGGAAACAAATCGAGGACCCTGAGGAGACGAACGGGAACACTTGCGGATACTTTATCTGACACCGTTCGCCCGTCGCTCTTTATAGCCACTGCGCGGCGTCTGTGGACATTGAACATCTTCTCCTCAAGGCTGCCACTACTGCAGTTGATGCAATCTAAATCCATGTTCATGCAGCCTCAAAGCGCCCCGGTCTCTCCACCTTGCGGTCCTGAGCGCCTGGTTGAGAATTTCCGCGAGCGGACGTTTGCCCATCATCGACGGAATTGGGAAGGTCTGGCCATGGTCCCTCGCTTGGCAGCGGAGAAATTGGTGATTGGAGATGTAGTGGCGATGGGGCCAAAATAGTCAGCAACCGTAAGCTGGAGCACGAGGTGCAGGTGAAGGATCGGAACATCTCGAGCGACATCAACATCAGTGCTTGTCCAAAATTGCAGCGACGTTGGAGGAACGCTTCTCCTTTGCGGCGTTGAGGCGACTTTGATCCGGGAAGGAGCTCACCCTGAACAGGCTGGACGAGGTCCACACTGGAGTGGGTCTCTGGCACTAGCGGAGTCAAGCATCCTAAGTCCGTGGGATGTTTCTTGCGCACTTCTTGTCACTGCGCTAATAAATGCCCACTCTCTAATCTCTTGTCAAGGGTAGGAGAGACCCAATTCTCTGGGATACCTTCGTTGTGCAGTCAACTGTGCTGATGATTACTCAAGCTTAGTCTCATAAACATACAGCCAAGCGTTTCTTTAAGTACCTCCACTGGCCATAGCGCTCTACAAATTACCGACAAGCAAGAAGGATGAAAATCGCTGTACAGAATTTTCCGACCACTTGAACGCATCGATATGAGAGCTTGTTGCGTAGAGGACGAGGTGGTCTTGCACCACCCGCAGGCGGCGCTCAGTTGCTTCTCACACATAGAATCTTTCGGACCACGACTTACAACTCTGACTATACATACAGATTTTGTCTTCGACAAAATTGTGTAAGAACTGATTTGTGAGATCAACGGAATCCGTTTCGTCCCCCAATCCGATGTCAGGCCTGGACCTCACGCTCCATGTAACGACCTGTGTACTTCCGACCTATAACGTATCCTTCTTCACCACAGACCACCACCGTCCAAACCTCATGATGCCCATGTCATATCCTTTCCACCAGCAATATCCCCAAGAGATCGCCCACGTGGAACCTAGAATAAGTGCTAGACCAACAAGATTGGAGTTCTTCCACGACCAAGGCTCTTGTCCCTGCCGTAGCGTTAGCTACCAACCAACACTGTGATGTAGTTAAAGTCTTACTCCTGTGCCCTTCTCGCCGCTCACAATACCTCTCTCGATGTCGTCTGGTTGCGTAACAGCCTTGATCGAGTTGAGGGTGAGCGAGAAGTCGCCTTCTTGGGTACCAAAGAAACTACCGATGGTCAACTACCGCAGTCTGGTGATAACGTGGTGAAGAATTTTACCTTCTCATCATGATGCTGAACCGCTTGACATTCTTCAGGTCCAATGGCTTTGCATCGTTCTTCTCTTTCCCGCGATACGTAGGCTTCATTGCACGCCATGGCACGAACAAACCAAGCTCGCTCTTCGATTCAAAGTCGTACTCCCAGCTGATGGTTGATTGTTCCCGTCCATCTGCCATAAGCGGCAGAATCTCGTCTTTGAGCGTGAGTGTGTACTTCTTTCCGTCGTGCTTTCCTAGATCAAGATAAATGCCATCGTAGGTAGATAGGTCCCAGGTGCGATCCTCGCCGGTAGTGCGCTGACTGGCAAAGCCGGCGCCGCCGAGAGCGGTGATGTCGAGATTGCCGTGGAAACGTGCTGAAGAACCATTGATGGTAAGGTAGGACTGGTATTCGTACGTTAGTCATCAGATTACTTCATTCATCTTGAAAGATGGGTTTTACCTGGGATGCTCCTCCTCTCACTCGGTCATCACTATCCGTCCAATCCGAAGCTTTCCAACCTCTGCACACGCATGCATTAGCTTCAATGCGACAATGCATTGTTCAACACTTACTTATCACCACCAAATAGAACCAGCTCTTTC